GCGGCTCTTCACCAGCTGATGGCCGATGCTGTCCCGGTATTCGGTGGGCCCCTTTCATGGAGGGCGTTTTGGCGACCCTCACGATGGGGACACTGTAGCGAATTTTTCCCCTTGTCACAAAAAAAAAAAAAAAAAAAAAAAAAAAAAAAAAAAAAAAAAAAAAAAAAAAAAACAGGTAACCCCTACCTTGTGATACATCATTAGAAAGAGCATAACAAACTAAGAATTTTGGCGCTAATCGCAAATCAGTATGTTAATTTTTGACCGAGTTATGATAGGTCAAAGGTCAAATTTGACCTATTTTCAAAAAATCATAACTCCGGTTCAAATGATCGTAAAGAAAAAAATAAAACGGGAAAATTTACCAAATTGTAAGCACTTTTAAGTAAAAATCACAGAAATTTCTTCAAACTAATTGTAAGGGGGGTTTCGGACCCCCGAATACGTCATTTTAAAGGTCATACGATTTTCTCGCGAAATGAGCCAATTTCCCCTAACTTTGCCTCAACACATCTTGATAAGTTAAAAATTAGTTCAAAATTGCGTTTTTAAGTCCTTGTTTATACCAGCCTCCTCCGTCTGCAAATGCGAATTTTTAAATTATAGAATTTTTGGGCATTTTTTCTATTTCAATTTTCTGAGAAACCTGGCAATCAGCTTGGATGCCAGAATCGCGCGCACCGCCGGACCGTTCGCTGTGTACTGCTTATGCAACCAGTCCCGCGTCCCACGCACGCATCACGTGGGCACGCGTCGCGTCGCGCGCTCTAATCACGCGGCCGCGCGTCGCGTCGCGGCTATAAAAAGCGAGCGGCCGCGCGTCTCATCACCAGTCGCAGCTCAACCGCAAGAAGAGTAGCAACCACGGTAAGTACCTCCAAGTACATACAGCTCTCATCCATCGGCGCGCTGGTCCATCTCTAACCGAGCTCTCCACGGCTCCAACGACTTGCGGGTCTTCCATGCCCACATCGCCCGGAGCGCTACCGCACTGGGCCAGCCCGAGGAGCCGTCTCTTGGGGTCTCTTCGGCGTCTCCAAGCGCAAAAACCAACGTGGACTTCCATGTCCAGATCGCCCGGAGTGCTATCACACTGGGCCAGCCCGACCGAGCTATCTCGTGGGGTGTTCTAAGCGCTTCCAAGCGCACAAACCAAGTCCTCTACAGGACAGCTGGCACTCGTCCGCTCTTTCTCAGGACCAGCGCTAGCCGACTCTAAAAGTCGCACTCCTTTTCAGTCCTCCAAATCTCGGGCAAAGTTCAAAAGAACGAAATTTGAGGTGATAAAATCTGACCGTTTAAATTTCATTTTTTTTTAACTTTGCCCGAAATTTGGGGGACTTAAAAACGCAATTTTGAACTAGTTTTGAACTTACTAAGATAATGTTGAGGAAAAGTAAAGGAAAATTGGCTCATTTCGCGAGAAAATCGTATGACCTTTAAAATGACGTATTTGGGGGTCTGAAACCCCCCTTAACATTAGTTTGAAGAAATTTCTGTGATTTACTTAAAAGTGCTTATAATTTGGTAAATTTTTCCGTTTTATTTTTTTCTTTACGATCATTTGAACCGGAGTTATGATTTTTTGAAAAGAGGTCAAATTTGACCTTTGACCTATCATAACTCGGTCAAAAATTAAGATATTGATTTGCGATTTGCGCCAAAATTCTTAGTTTCTTATTCTCTTTCTAATGATGTATCACAAGGTAGGGGTTACCATTTGAAAAAAAAGTTGGGGGCTCCCGCCCCCCCCCCCNGGGGGGGGGGGGGGGGGGGGGGGGGGGGGGGGGGGGGGGGGGGGGGGGGGGGGGGGGGGGGGGGGGTACGGACTTTTGGGACACCCTGTATGTATGTGGCGATTTAATCGCCATAAATCGCAATTTTTAATGCGATAATATCTCGATATATTGCCACCGATAACCAACCGACAAAATCGCTATTTATAGCGATCACTGCTACTTGGCTTCTCGCCAAGAAGTGTCCAATGATACCAACTTTCGCTTTCTTTGGATGAAAGCGACCAAAACACCTTTGAGAGGGATTAAAAAGGGGCCAAAGTCGCATGCAAAGCCACAGCTCGCTTCAGCACCAAAACTCATATCACTCTCTCCGACCTCTCTCGATCCCGCGACGAGGCGTTGGCCGATTGCAAATCTATTTCTGATACGCGCGTGTGGTGTATCAGCGAAAAAGGACGGAGAGTAACGTTATCGAATATCCTCTTAAAATCGGAAGATTCTATGGCAGGTTTTAGGAAACACATACCTCTCCGACACAATGAACGGAGGGGTTGCTGCGGCATAATTCTGTGGCAAAAATTATATGTCGGGAGCTTGCTAAGGACCATTATGAGTTTGACCCTCCACAGGTGAAGGAAAATGAGAAAAGCCGACTGTACTGGAACAGGAAGATACGCATACACAAAACCATTCCAAACAACATCCCGGATATTGTGATCACTATAAGGGTGCTAAAGTGGCTTTCATCATCGACACTGCAGTACCTTTGGCAGTTAACATCCAACCTGTCGATGCAGAGAAGATAAATAAATACAGGCCACTGGCTGATGAGATTAAATGTCTATGGAAGTTGGACAAGGTGATAATTGTGCATATTGTTATTGGAGCCACAGGAGAAGTCCCTAAAAGGATGTTGGATAGCCTGCGAAAGCTCGGTCTTAGGAAGGAGCTGTATCAACAACTGCAAAAGGCAGTATTGTTAGGAAGCTGCAGAATTGTCCGCCGAGTTGTCATCGATGACTTTCACCACTAAAATGACTAAATCTTACAGCCATTTTACACCAAAGATTTTTAACGTTTGAGATTTTACAATTTAATACTTTCATTTTGATATTGCTGAGATTTGTAAATTTATAGCTTTTAAACGAATTTTTAAAGAAAAGCAACTTTTAACCATTTATAACCAAATAATTTGAACGTTCAACTTTTTACATTTTCATAATTTTATTTTAGGATTGTTTAAGATTCGTGTATTTTGAGCCTCGAACTAATATTTTAAATTTTTTAAACTTTTAACTTTGGAACAATTTTTAAAATTTTTAGCTTTTTTAATGAGTTGGTTGTAGGAAGACTCAAGTTTGACTCTCCTCTGCGTTGAAACGCCGGGAGAAGTCGATAGAGTCGGCCTCCGGTTCTGTACGTTAAAGACATAATGATAATAATGATAAAATCTGCAGTAAGCTGAACGTACCAGTCGTATCATTAAATTGCTAAAAAATATATTCCTACTAAAATAGATATTATTAATCTAATTCTCGAATTTTTGAACTTATTAATGGTTAAATCATAATGAACTCAGGTAATGAAAAATCCCGATATTAGTAAGATTATAGTATTTAACAAACTTTGAAACAAAAACTTTAACAAAATTTGATAAACTTTGAATATCTGGGATTGTTTGTTTGGTCAGTGTTAATTACGGTATTTCTACTATTGATTTCACTTCCTGTTCTTGCGGGGGCTATTACAATGCTGTTGATAGATGTTGTTGTAGCAGCCTGCTTATTTAGTTAGAAAACAATTCATTTTTAGTATTAACAATAATATACCTCTCTTTGGTTTTAACTAAATTTGTACGAAGACACGAAGGCCTTAATTATTAAGCCGAAATTAATTGTATTTTTTACTTCAGTACAATTTCTGTACTTTTTGGTACTTCTGTACCAAATGGTATGACCACCAACCCAAGACAGTGACGCAAACATCAGACAGGAGCATTTGGATATTATGGAACATGAGGGTGCGAACTGACAGAGAGGTGAAAGCAAATAGGCCTGACATATTCGTGAGGCAGCAAGATGGAACCTGTCTTTTAATTGATGTCTCTATTCCCATGGATTGCAACGTGGTGCAGAAGGAAGCCGAAAAGCGCTTGAAGTACAAAAGCCTTGAGATACAAATACAACGGATATGGAAAAGGAAGACCAAGACTGTGCCGGTTATTGTAGGAGCGAATGGTGTGATATCAAATGCATCGGCAGGCATCATAAAGGGAATACCTGGCAAGATCTCAATTGCAAGTATCCAGAAAACAGCAGTATTGGGCACAGCAGCAATCCTCAGAAAAGTGCTGACTTGAGTGTGAAGTGTATATTGTTATTTTTATAGTCATAGATCCCATATTATCGAGGTTTGTACCATAAAATTATCGTTGAGCTCATTAGGTAAGTTCGAAGCAGTGTAAACCAGAAGAAAGGTAGCATTAGTATGTTTATTGACTCATTGATTTATTTATTCATGATTTTTGTAATAGTATTAGTATGTTTATTGACTTCTTAATTTATTTATTTCTGATTTTATTCCCCCCTCTTTTTTTTTCTGAGTACATGTAGTAACTCACCAGTGATAGGGGCAACTCCACCAACCACCTGAGTTATTATTCCCCACCGCTACCAATTAGTGGCGTGTAAATATGTAAATTGTATACATATGTGAGACTTACTACCCCTCTTTCCCCTCAATAAGCGTTCTTCCCCCTCCCCCACCCTGTAATGCTAAGGCCTATTGTTTAGGCCCGCGATAAGGTGTACCTTAATGTAAAAATTAAGTGAATAAAGGAGATATAATAAGAATAATAGCAGTACTCAAAATCACGAAATGAATATTTGCTCCAAAAAATTATTGAACAGAGGGATATTATTCAGCATTATCATTAAAATACTGATTTCAGGCTATTCTTGGCTGCCTGTTCGATTTCGAGGATTTTCTTTGAAAATGACCAAGGACTACACCCCACGTATGACAAAAAAGAATTCTCTTTACTTCTTTGAGGGATGTGCTAAAGAAAAACAATTCCTCAGACACACTTCTAGGAGGTCGTTTGGGAACTTGAATTCTGAAAATAAAATTTTAAACATAGGCACATGAATCATGATTTCAACTTGAATAAATAATTTTGGTTAAAGTCAGGATCAATCAACCGTTAACTGTAGGAGTGTAGGTGCTCATAAGAGTTGTTAGATGGAAATCTGTCAATCGTACCTGCTTCACGTTATAACCAGCCTTAGCACTAGTTTCAATAAACATAACATTCAATTCTTTTGCTTTCCTTTCACCATCTTCACTGGTGACTTGTCTCTTATCTGATAAATCAGTTTTGTTGCCAACTAACATAATTATGACATCACTACCACGCTCTGTCCGAACGTCATCAATCCATTTTGAAGTTTGATGGAATGAATTAGCATCTGTAAAAAAGATTAAAATTCATTAATTTAAACTCTCAGAGGAGCACGCCATCTCTAGAGAACGCCTCCCTAGGATGGTGGATAGGAGAGAGCACATCAGGTAAGATTTTTTTTCTTTTTTTTCTTCATGTTTTTTTGTTTTTTTACAGATTTATTTTATTGAAAACTTCCAATTTAGGAAATATATACAATTAGCTTACATTAAGGATGATTAATGGCGAAGTAACAACAGGTTAATTACTTATTATCTCAAGATAAAGTTGAAAATGGACGCATCCCAACCGAGCCGAACCGCGCCAGGGGCCCTGGCTCACGGCCCGCGCCCCCGTAACAGGGCCCGCGTCGCAGAGTGCACAGTCTCGCCCAGCATAAACGCATCCACGCAAAAATTGATCAACACAAGTTAATCAATTTTTAATGACTTTAAAGATAGTAAAGTACATTTCTAAATATTAGATATTAGAAGATTAATATAAGTACAATCTTTCACTTTCCCTTATTTGAGCGTTGGCGAAGTGGATGTTGTGAAGCATTAATTCTTTCTTCTTCACTCGATAGTAAACCTTCGAGTTTTTTGCTAATTTCAACTATTTCTGTCGATTGTGCTTTAATAGTCTCCTGCAGTTGGATAATCATTGCCTGTAGACTAATGATCAACTCATGATTCACTTTATCAGAGTTATCAATCTTACTAGTGTCATTATTTTTACTGTGAAGTAATAGTGCTTGATTACGTTGATTATTTCCGCGTACTATTGCGGAGTGAACTTTTTAACCTTGCCCTGCTTTTCTAAGTTTTTGATATCCTCTTTTTACGGAGGGGGGAATTTCCATTTTTGCATTTTGGATCTGACTTTGTAGCCGAGAAAGTTTGCGGGGCGTTGTCCCCCTCACAATGCGCATTTTGGAGGTGGCGAACAGTTGAAATTCTCTCCTGGGAGGGGGTTTTTACGGGACACTCCAGTGCAACATGAAAATCTCCGCACCATATGCAACGCGGGGGGCGGAAGCATCTCCCTTTGGCATGCCCGAAGGATCAACAATTTTTACATTGTATGATTATTCCAGGAATTTTACGGAAGTTAAGGGGAAAAATTAACAAGAAGCTAATTTTTGGCATAGTGAGTCCTTATGACCCCCTGAGTCCTCCCAAAAAAGTCCTCGTAGATAGCGTCACGGCTTTGGGTTTTAGGGGGGGGGGTAAATCGGTTTTCTGGTCATAATATGAGAAAGGTTGCTCGTATCACTACGTATAGCACCATTTTCTGAATACTCGTGAAATTTTAGAGCAGTTTGACATTATAAATTTTCCATAGCCCCCCGGTGCCCCCTAAAATGGGCCTGTTGCAAACTTTTGCTAGAGCAAAACTAAGAGTTGTTTCTTACAGATAATGCCTCAAATATCACGATGAGCGCATCGGCAAAGTCTGAAATGCACTCATAACTTCACAATCTGCGTGAGATTTTTGCGGTTTTTTAAGGTTCCCGCTTCGAGTTCCGTGCGGTGTCGCTAAAATTTCTCAAATAAATCTCAGTTTAGACACGTATAGCAGACGTTCACTTTTGTCCGCTACGATCCCTGCTCTTACAGTTTACTTTGATCTCTGATTCATTGATTAATGACTCTCTGGGTTTCATTTATCATCAATCAGTTCAAAGCTATCTCAACGATAAATCATCAAACACTACATCAAAGAAGAAATTTTCTGCTGAAGGCTACAGCTGAATTGACATTTCAACTCAACTTATGAAAGCATGAACCAGGACATAAGAATCAGTCTCAAAGTGAAACTATTTTTCAACTCATCAGGCAGTTTACCAGGTAAGAAATCTACAATTAGTTAATGAAGGATTACCAGATTACATGCACACTGGTTTTCCAACATTTACAGTGAGTAGGGATATTTTTATTGATACTGACAAAACAAATATATCAATGGAATGGTTAAACTGGGAAAATACTTACCGCGATCCACAAAGTTCATCCACAAAGACTTTCAGAGTCTTTTCATTTCTCTGCTGATAAATAATTCAACATAATTTCTGAAAACTGTGTAGTTAATGACTTCGGTATGCAGAAAATTCTTTTATGGGATTTTAAGCGTATAGAGGTCACTAACTTTTCCCTGATTTTGGAATGTCCTCTTTTGACATTAGGTGTCTCTCATAAAAATTCTTTTCACAAAAATTTTAAGTTCTTACTTGACTTAATTTTAAGTGTTTAGTCTCTTTAAACTGAAAAGTCCAAATTTTTTACTGGGAGAAGGAATTACAATGCTCTGCAGCAAAACTACCTGACATATTTTCACAGTGGGTAGGGCTTAATTTCCTAACTTTTACAGAGCCTGTCACCCTGTCTATCCCTCAGAAATTCAGTGAACCAGATGAGATTCAATGAGGGTCGTTGATAACTTTACCACTAAATTGATACTGCTTGATTTTGGAAGGAGCAACTTTACCTACTAACATTGTTGTCAAACAAGGTTTACTCATCAGAGCCCTGAGTTGAGGAACCAAGAGAAAATAATTTGTTTTTATTTACTCCTGAAATATGAAACTGACCATGATGCAGGTGAGTACTTATGAAAACTATACAGATCTCATAAAATTTCTATAAACCTTGTTGCTGGGGGAAAGATCTAATACATACTGAAGATAATCATCGAATGATGTACTCTCCTAAATATAGACAAAAATTATAATGCAAATGTTCATTATTTGATGAAAAATAAAGTACAAAAATTCTCAGAGGACACCAAGAATGCGTGGGAAATCTTAAAATAATTTCCTATCACAAACAAAAATAAAAATGACACTGAACATTTCCAGCAGGGCTTCTTGATAATCATAGAACCAAAATTCTGAGAGCTTGACACTTACGACCCTTACAATTTTTAGATTGATACACTAATGAGGTCTGGCAAGCTGTTGAATGCCCTGATTTCCAAACTTCTATTAAGTACTCAAGCAGAACACATTTCTTTAAATTTCAATTCCATGGTAAAATTATTTCTATTGCATTGTCGTGTTGAAAATGTTGCCTATTTACTCATCGAAGGAACAATTTTTAGAGCAATCAATTTGAAATAAGTAACTACCGAAGTTGCAATTTATCATTGGATTGCCTATCATTCTAACACATGAAACTCACTTTGATGATTGTTTAAAATCGGCTTTTATGATGTAATGTTTTCGGCAATGATGTAAATGTTTTGCAATATCAAGTTAAAAAATTACAATTTTTCTGCAGTCAATATCAATTTTATTCAAATGTATATCATTGCATTATGCTACTTGGGCACTTCACCCATATTTCATGTCGTATTTCTTTTCAGGGATATCTACAGTTGAGTAGATTTTGATATTTAAAGCTAGGAGCGTTGAAATAATTATCACTTACCATGTACAACTTTTGGCTTTTGCCTCAGTTGATCCTCTCACAAGCTGAGTTGTAAAGTCAATTTAGCCATAGCTTTCTGAAGAAAATTTCTTCTATGATCTAACAATTAATGATTAATCATCGAAATAGCTTTGAACTGATTAATTAAAGATGACACCCAAGGGTGTAAAAGAATAAGACGGATCCGAGAAACTTTGCTACACAGCAAGGAGGTATCAACTTCATAACTAAGCAAGTCGTCTGCATGTCGCGTATTTTTCAGCGAAATTAGCATTGAATCTCATCTCACCCAACGAAAATATTCATTGCTCAGAAAGTTGCAAAAAATTGCAAGTAAATCGAAGAAATTCTCAAATATCAGAGTGTGTTCCTACACAAAATTGACCATTTGAACCATCCGGACATGTCCAAAAAATTCAGGAGTCGTCTGCATGTCGCGTATTTTTTGGCGGAATCAATGAAAATAGTGCTTTGAAGAATGCACTTCTTTTGCCAGGTATTTGAAGATAGAAAGGCAAAGCCAGAATAGAACATTAAATTAGAAAATTTTATTCAGAAGTCATATTTTAACCCCAGAAATCTTGCTCCAATCGTGTGGACATGTAAAATAACATTAAACAGATTAGCATAAAATAGCTCCATTATACGGCATGCTGGCTATTTGGCAAGACTGCCTTTCATCCATATGAACACGACTACATACATATATATATATATTATTTATATTATAAATAAAAGAAAGATACATATCAATCATTAGCAATAGAGAAGGAGAGGTAGAATAATAATCGAAAACACAGGAAAAAGCGGAAACAAGGCTAAAAATACACAATATAAAGGCAGGACGTTTCGGTACCTTACGGCACCATTATCAACTGCAAACAGAATTAAAAATAAAAAGAAATTAAAATAAAAACCAGCAAACGGCGTTACATCGTGAAATTGGTAAATGAGACTGCAGTGATAACAGAATAAACAACAAACAAGGTACGATATGCAACAAACATTGGAAAACGTGAGAAAACTGATCACCGATGATTAAGAAAAAATTGCACGGGCGGCCGCCAGGTGGCAGCAGTTCACGGCGTGCGAAAAAAGGAATAATGCCAAGAGCATCAAGTTCGAACTGCTCCAAGACTAGATTAGCAAGGACGGCATGGAGGATTAGTCATGGAGCAGTTCGAACTTGATGCTCTTGGCATCATTCCTTTTTTAATTATGCTATATAAACGGTATGTGGATGACAACCTCCTTATCGAAAAGAGGGGAGAGGAGGACTCCATTTTACAGTTTTTTAATTCATTGAACCCTTCAATACAGTTTACCATGGAAGTGGAAAAGAACGGGGTGCTAAATTTCTTAGATATGTCATTGATTAGGGTTGGTAATAAAATTAAGTGCAAATGGTACCAAAAACCAACGTCATCTGGCCGCTATTCTAATTTTTTGTCGGTGCAACCTACTAACATCAAAAGAAATGTTGCCTTGAATCTCGCCAGACGCATGATTTGTTTGTCTGATCGGTCCTTCAGAAATGAAGTGATCCGAGAAGGCAAACAATTACTCATTGAAAATTGTTACCCTCCCATGTTTGTTGATA